GTGCGCCACCCCCGCCGCCCCCCCGGGGGCACCCGTGCCCCGCGGCTCTCAGGCATCGCTACACCCTCGCCTCCTAGAGCCATGGAGAACACATCCCTATTTCCATTTCACGGGTTATGTTTAAGAGTTGCACTTGGGGGATTTTTAAGTTTGTTTTGGGTGGTTTTTTTTTCCCCCTAGATAATCCTCTGCAGCATTGAACTGTGGGGATTTTGGCAACGCACCACGGTCTTGGCAAATCCTCGAGCTTCAGCCCCGCAGAGGCACCCAGGTGCTTGACGTGTGCGACTGCTGTGGCTGTATTTTGGGTTGTCCTGTTTTCCCGGGATTTCAGCACATGGCAGGTCCGACGCTTGGGCGTTAGTGCTGAAAACGTCCAAGAGGGTTTGTGTACCTTCGTTTCCCAACATTTACAGCTCAGGAATTTATGGTACTTGGGCGTCCATGACATGTGAAACGCTGGTGGGACCCCAAGCAATGCAAACTGCAGCTGCATGCCCTGGCAACACCTATGAAATAGATTTATTTTTATTTTCTGCTCACCTAAACAGCCAGTTTATTATATATCAAAATAATCTGCCTTGTCGATTCTCAACTGAAACCTTTTTGGGGGGCGTTGAAAAGATGCAGGCAGAGGGGCAGATCAACCAGTAGCTGAATAATTAAGATAATTTCCCTCGTTAATGAAGGTGAAAATCAGATCTTGTGTCCCACTAGGTTTATAAAACTCACGTGTTAAAAAAAACGGTGCTGACAGGAGACCCAAATCTTTGTGTTTTAGCACACGTTGTGCAGGGGAAACCTGCTATGGCTGGAAGGAAAAAAAAAAGAAATAAAGATGTTTTCTTCGATGGGACCATCTCATAGAGGTGGAGAGAACTCTGTGGATGCTGGTGGGGCAGGCCAATGAATAAAAAATGAATAAACATAAATAAAAATACCATCGAATTAAAACGGTCGTGGCTCAGAGGCATGAGGAAAGCCCCTCTGCGTGTGGACCGGCCGCGGGCCCCCGGCCAAGGGCAGCGCTGCCGCAGAAACATCTTCGTGCTAAATGTAACAAGGGGCGCTGAAATGGATTTTAAAATTATTTTAATACTTTTTAAAATTTTTTTTTAAGAAAAAGGGTGATTTTTTTCCCTACTCTATTATTTACATGGAATTTCAGTGCCCTGTCAATTTGGCGAGATTTGCTGCGATCTTGGCATCCGTGGGGGGGTGGTTTCCCTTTTGCCTCATTTCTGCCTATTTAAAAACGAATATTATTTCACAGGGTTTTGGATGCAAGCAAGAGGCATGACCAGAAACCTAAATATTGTTCCTATGCCGGTTTTATTAAATTAAAGAAGTGTGTC